AAGCCCTAGGTTCAGTCCCAGCATTGCATAAACTAGGCATGGTGGTACAATCCGGAGGTGCAAGCAGGAGGATTGAGGCTACTCTTGTGTGCTACATAGTGAATTCAAGCTCGTGCTACCTGAAGCCTAGGGAAAAGTGGCGAAAAACTCCAGTGGCTGGAGCTGCAAATTCCTAAATCATAGCCACACAGATACTGGATTTGAACCCCAGAATCACCTAAGTTCAAGGGTGAAAGGAACAGAGGTGTCTACTTCCTCAAGCAGCCTAAAGGCTGCTCTCCTGGAGGTCGATGTGAACTTAATCTCTACTAACCCAACACCCAGTGGAATGGATCACTCATGTGTCTTCCCTCAGCCCCTGGGCTGTGAGGGTTCATCCCAGTGGGTCTGGGATTGTTCCAGTCTGAGCCTTGGAAACCAGAACACAGGTGGATGGGCTGACCCCAGGCAAAAGCACAAAGCACACTGATAACCAGCTTCCATAGCAGCTCAGGGGTGCACCATGCTTGGGTAACATTGATAATTTGTACTTGGCCTCAATATGGTGGGAGCTGGCAGATACGTAAGGGAACAGAAGGAGGGATAGGTGTTTCTCCAAGTGCGCCCAAGGCTACTGTGCAGCTTAGTAAGAAGCAAAGCTCCAGACTCCAGTGTGGACCATTGACTAAGAATGTCTGGTGGTCCAAGTCATGCCCCACATGGCTTCATCCATGTCCTAGCTGACTGCAGCATTCAAGACATGCTCCTGCAAGCCTTAAAAACAAACAAGCAAAAAAAAAAAAAAAAAAAAAAAATGTGGACTGATGGCTCAGAGGTTAAGAGCACTGGCTGTTTTTCCATAGGTCCTGAGTTCACCATCTGTAACCAAATCTGGTGCCCTCTTCTGGCATGTAGGTGTACATGCAGGCAGAACACTGCATACATAATAAATAAATAAATAAGTAAATAAATAAATAAATAAATAGTAAATAAGTAAATAAGTAAATAAATAAATAAATGGATGAATTTTAATGGCTGTGTTTTAAAGCCCTTGCTAATAAACAAACAGACAAACATATATATAAACAAACAAATAAAGCTGGGCATGGTGTAATGCCAGCACACAGAGAAGCAGAGGCAAGTGGATCTCTGTGAGTTCGAGTCCAGCCTGGTCTACAAAGGGAGTCTAGGATATCCAAGACTACAGAGAGAAACCCTGTCTCAAAAAAAAAAAAAAACCCTCAAAAATAAATAAATGAATGAAAGCCCTTGCTGGTTTTGCAGAGGACTGGCATTTAGCTCCCAGCACCCATGTTGGGTGACTCACAACTGCCTACAATTCCAGCTCCAGAGGACTTGATGCTTTCTTCTAGCCTCCAAGGTCACACACACACACACACACACACACACAGAGAGAGAGAGAGAGAGAGAGAGAGAGAGACATACACATGAACACACACAAATAAAAATAAAAGTAAATCTTTAAAAAAAGAAACAAGACGAAGTTGAAGAGATCACTCCCTAGATAAGAGTGCTCACTTCTCTTACAGAGGACCTGCGTTCAGATTCCAGCACCCACAACCATTTTTAATTCCAATTCCAGGGGATCCAATGCCTTCTTCTGGCTTCTACAAACACCAAGCATGCACATGGTGTATATGCATACAGATAGACAAAACACTTACATACATAAAATAAAATAAAATTTTAATTAAAAAAAATAACAGTTGGAGGCTGGCAAGATAGCTCGGTGGTTAGGGTGCTTGCCACCAACCCTGATGAGTTGAGTTTGGTCCCCAGGACCCACATGGTGGAAGAGAGAACCAACCTCCCTCAAGTTATCCTCTGACCTCTAATGCAAGGTGTGCCATGCAAGAATGTGTAAATGAATAAAAAATATATAAATAAATAAAATTAAAATCAGCTGTTTGATTCTACACACCCCAAAGTCTTCACTGTAGCGGAAGAGGAACTCACTGTGTAAAGTTTGAAGACCTTTAAGCTTCCTCCTTCCTGAAGACCCTTGAATGTCTTGTTTGAAGAATTTGTTTCCCCAGTTTTAACTTTTTATTACATTTATTTATGTGGGGGAGGGAGCAGGAGTATGTGAAGGTCAAAGGACAAGCAGCAAGAGTCTGCTTTGTCCACCACAGGAGTCCCAGGGATTGAAGTACGATCATCCGGCTTGGCACCAAGTGCCTTTACCCACTGAACCATCTGCTGGGTCCACTTTCCCAGGAGCCACCTCAGTTCTGGGACGACCAGGCTGTCATCCAAGTACAGAATGATCTACGTGCAGTTGCAGATCAGCCGGGCACAACTGTGCTGGTTAGGAACAAAGCAAAAGGCAGGTGGGAAGCAGCCTTCCCTATCCCCAGCCAGACACAGACTTGGGGTGTGCAGGGCGGTGGCTGCCCCTACAGCCCCAGTCCTCATTTCCTGATCACTGGGAAAGCATTTCCATGTTGGCCCAAACTTTCTGCTTCCTGTTCCCTCCTACACTATTTTTAGGCCCAGCAGGCATTTCCTGTGTTGACCTGTCCCACCCACCTCAGGTCTGCCCTGGCCTCTCCTATCAGGGTGCCTGCAGGGTGGGCCTGACTGGTAGGGACTCTGGTCCCCCTGGAAACAGGTCTGTACACAGCAGGTGACCCAGGGCTGCAAACTCCCACTTGGTGCCTCCCACACAACACCAGACTAGCTGTTTTAGAATCAGTCCCTTCCCTTAAGCCTGAGGCCCTCCTGTAGCCTGTAGCCTCCAAGATATGCAAGTGCTGCTGGGACATCCCAAGTATGGGCCACAGAGCTTCAGACCTGAAGGCTGCTTTTGCCCTTGGTGTTCACTTCACTCTTGTTGCCGTGGTGGAGAAAGAGCACCAGTTCTCACCCTGTGTCCACAAGTCGCGATCCTTCTGGCAAACTTCTATTTACCAGACTATTTACATTATGATTCATAACAGTAGCAAATTTACAGTTATGATGTATCAATGAAAATCATTTAATGGGGGGGGGTGTCACTATAAAGTGAAGAACTGTATTAAAGGGTCCCAGCATTAGGAAAATTGAAAACCACCGAGATAGAGTTCGGGGACATTCGCCCCACCCCTGCTCCCCTGCCCCTTCCCCATGCTGAGGTAAAAAGGTGAGGACCCTAAAAGGAGCCTCAAAACCCATCCATCCACTTCCAGCCAGTCCAACTGCATGAAAGAATCTACACCAACATTTCTCAGCTCTGTGCTTCTCATAACTGTCATCCTAAGGAGTCTGTATAGACAGTTTGTTTTCCTGCTTTCTCCTTCCTCAGGAAATTGTAATACCGAAAATGGACTGCATAAATATAAAGAGAAAGAGAATAAGACTTTCCACATCTTCAGGCTAATTGCAGGGGCTGGAGAGATGGCTCAGTGGTTAAGAACACTGGCTGCTTTTCTAGAGGACTGTCATTCAATTTCCAGCAACAACACAGCAGCTCATAGCTGTCTGTAACTCCAGTCCCAGGGGATATGACTCCCTTTTCTGGCCTTCATGAGCAATGTTCACATGTCTGCACAGACATGCATTCACTTTTTTTTAAAAAAAAAGATTATTTATTATGTATATGAAATTCTGCCTGCATGTATGTCTGCAGTCCAGAAGAGGACACAAGAGCTCACTATAGATGGTTGTGAGCCACCATGTGGGTGCTGGGAATTGAACTCAGGAGCTCTGGAAGAGCAGCCAGTGCTCTTAACTTCTGAGCCATCTCTCCAGGCAGCAAAACACTTAAAAAAAAAAAAAAACTATTTGTAGGAGGCAGGGGAAGAAGCAGGCAGATCTCTGTGAACCTGAGACCAGCCTGGTCTAGATAACAAGTTCCAGGTTATCCAGGGTTACATAGACAGACTCTGTCAAAAACAACAAGCAAACAAGCTAGGTACGATCACAGACATATGATCCCAGCACTCAGAGGCTGATGGGTAAGGACAGCTTCAAGGCCAGCCTAGCTGCATAAACAAACAAACAAACAAACAAATCTTATCCTTTTGGGGGCCATTAGACTAGCTAAGTAAGAATGGAGACTGTGTTTGAAGTCAGACTGTGTTCTCTTTGGTTCTTTTCTATTTGCTTTTGAGACAAGGTCTCACTGTGTAGGCTGTCTCAGGTCTCCCAACTGCTGGATGACAGGTATGTGTCATTAGGGAAAGCCCAGCTTGTTCTCTTTGCACCAGATTCAAGGGGAAAGAAGCCATCTCCCAAAGCAGTGTCTCCAGACCTCTAGAATGAGTCTTGCCACCAAAGCTCTGCAGTCAGCCTGTATTGGAAAATCGATGCCTAAATACCTCAGGAGTGACTTCTCAGAGAGGGCCTGCTTAGTTCTTACACCAAGTCCTAAGTTAAACTTGCTACCAACTCAACATCTACTCCTTTCTGCTTTCATCTTTCTCTCTTGATTTGAAATCAATGGCTGTGAGTCAGTATTCTCTGTCATCTTGAGCTAATGACTCCAGTTCACTAATGTTGCCATGGATGGCCTTTCTCTTTCTGGAAAGAGTCTTTCTGGAAATGTTGTCATCAGTCCATCCTCTTGGTAAAATGGTTGAAATAATCTGTGCAACAACCCTAGAGAACATACAGCTCTCAGCTCCTGTGTTTCAGGCAAGCCAGGTACATACAGTAGGGCTGTAGGGAGGAGAACCACTTTATAATGAAGTCTTCTAAAACTCTTGCTGTTTGGGGACTGGAGAGATGACTCAGCAGTTAAGAGCTCTGGATGGTGGCTCAGAGCCTTTGGTGACTCTTCTGGGCTCTGTGTGTATTACATCATGTGGTGCTCACACATACATGCAGGCACACACTCATGCACATAAAATAAAAACAAATAAACCTTTTTCCTTTTTTCTCGAGTTAATTTGGGTCAGTGCTGGCATAAGCACTTACAGGTTTATTGATAGTAACTTTTCAAAATTTATTCTGGTATCTGATGTTACAAACTTTAGGGTCTTTGAGATATGCAGGATCCTTGTATGTCACTTGCATAAACCTCATTTTCTGAGTTCTCTTAATGGCCTTTGAAATTTCTGTCTGTTTCTTTCCACAAAGATCTGTTATGTGCCTTCCAGAAATGCATCTAGTGAATGGAGAAATAAACTGGGACAGAAGCTGTATATTCTTATAATCTACATGTTCCTCGAACAAGACACACTTCTTAAGAGGCTCCTTGTAGGGGTTTTCCCTATAAGGATATAGAATTGTCAGGTCCTTATTGCTGGCTACCTGTTTATACTGTGAGCAACGTCTTCTCCACAGCACTGTAACCGCGTGAGCTCTGTGAGGCAGACAGCCACGGTTGTCAAGCTCTTCTTCAACAGCACTGCACACAGCAGCCATAGCTGCCATGGTTCTCTGCCCTTCCCAAGTAAACTTTTTAAAGGAAGAAACTTCTGACCATTTAACAAGATGTACAGCCCATTTTGTGCCAGAGGACAGCTGCCACGTATAACAGCCATAGTCAGTGCGGGGGGGGGGGGGGGCAGCTTAGTCTCTCAACTCGGACCAACCAATGGAGGTGCCTAGCTCTCTGAGCATTGCTCTGTGCTCTGCCCTATGATCTGTGGTGACAGACGTTGACAGCCTGAAGCCTTGTGGAAGCATTTATCCAGAAGCAGCCTTAGCCACTGGGGGCAGTTTGAGTTTTATCCACTCTCTCCCCAGTGTAGAGCAGCAGACTTGGTCTGAGCATCCAGAAACTACTCAATGTTAGTAGCCTAACCCAGTGCACAAATGCGTGAACAGGTCACCTATAGAGGAGAGAGTCACCAGCCCATGTGTCAGAGTCTGAGCTGGGGTCAACTCTCTGCAGGACACCTATACAGTCACAACATTAGTTATTTGGTTAAAAACAAACAAACAAAAAAACCACAATGTGGTTTTTTTGTTAATCTCAAATAATTCCCGTGTTTCAAATCCTTACCTATCACCCTGTCACAACTCCCAAGTTCTTGTAGAGACAGAAATCGTGCTGGGATTTTGGAGAAGCCATTTGACAATGGCCACAGACTCTCGATGATCACACTTGGTGTCACACTGATACTGTCATGTACAAGGGGCCCACCAGCTTCCAGGCCCCTTGTCTGTGTCAACATTTCAGCCATCTAGAAAACGTTCTGGTTAGGAGTTAATTGTCCCTAATTATTACAGAAAGTTGAGGAAATATATAGAGAAAATCACCCCCTCAGTACAGGAGCAGAAGAGGAACACACACACACACACACACACACACACACACACACACACACAGCTAAGATGGAAGAGACTGGCCCATTCACTATACCACTCCGGGCCACCAGATGGCGAGCACAAGACATCTAACCTAACCATTGCACTCAGGAGCAGCTACTTAAACAGCAGTTCAAGCAGAACCCAAACAATAGACAATACATACATACTCTGTATCATACATAGCACATACAATATAAACACTACAGTAAGCAATATACAAATTCCTTTTCATAGACAACACACACAATAGACAACAGGAACATGAATCCAACATCATATACACTATATTCATTCTCAACCCACACATATTCAATGTCGTGCACAGTACACACAATATAGATGCTACAGTATACAACACATAATACGTCCACATACCAACATCACACACAATGTAACATGAAACATACACAGTATTCACTACATCAAAACACACTACAACACAGATTAAAATATATACCACACAACAATGTATGGAATATTTCATATGCCACATACACTATACACAGAAAACACATCACAACACATAGAACCAAAGATACATGCAAGCAGCCTACCCACACCCCTCACGCACTTTGAGAGCCACCAGCTTCTATCTGTGGCTCTCTCCCTTTGCCTGCCTCTCTTCATGGCTCTCCCTTTGCCATGGGCACCTACCAGTTCCCAGGGTGTCCTCCCTCCCATCACCTTCTCTCTCCTCCCAGACACCAGTCAGCCTCCAACACCATGGCTTAGAGAGGAAAATGGTGTCCCCCAACCAACCACTTTTTTTCATCGGGTACTTTCCTTCTGGCTGTTTTTCTGCTCAGCTGACCTGGTGATCCTGTGGCACATATTACCATTGCCTTGTAGGAGGAACAGAGTCCAAACTGACATCTTTGTCCCTCATGGTGGGCAGACAAGAGGTTAAGTCTTCAGACTCCAGTGAGGCAGGCCCCACAGAGGAAATCCTACTCTGGTTAGTTCACCTCTCCTGGCACACCTGCTCCATCTTCATGCATGTTGCTGAAGTCCTGTTGGGGCAGGAGGGCCTAGTAAGAGGAATCAGGGTCACTGCCCAGAGCCAGAGGCCCCTCCCAGAAGGCCCGACTGAGAGGCAGAGAGAGACACCACACTGTGCACCTGACTAGGCCTGTCAGGCCACCTCTATCCTGGGGCCCTCCCTGACTAAGTCTCTGCAGATTGAGCCCAGTTCAGGATTTTACCTGGTAAGTGTCAGAGCTGACCCTGGCCTGAGCTGACTTCTCTTAGACTGAGCCTCCAGCCCAGGACCAAGAACAGGGAGAGAAAAAAAATACTCTGCAGGCTCAAAGGGAACAAATAAAAAGGCTACGCTCCCTCTGAGCTGGACTGCTTCACCTGGTTGTATCCCCTTATTTGGTAGCCCAGCCCACAGCCCTTCCATCTCCCATCCTTCCTTCTGTTGCCATCCTCTTCCCTCCCCAGGGTCCTTCCTATCCCTTACTCATCTCTAAAACAGAGTCAAAAATTGAAGTCAGTGTCAGAACCAAATGAGGTAACTCAGAACTTCCCAAGCCTTAAAAAGCTTTTTTTTTTTTTTATTACAAAATCTGTTCTTACCATGTTTTCGTCCTTGGACCTCCTGCCTCATTGGCCCCAGATCGCCCCAAGCTTTGAAGAAATCTGAACTCACTCTTTACATCCTAGCCTGGGCATATACTTTCTTGCACTCTTTTTTCTGAATTTTCTGCCATTTCTCTTCCTCCCTTGCCAGCCCTCAGATTGTCCTGTAACTCTGATCACAGTTTGTCTTCTAGAACTGTATCTATCTCCCTCGACCTCTCATTTGCACAGAAGAAAAGTGCAAACCAACACACAGCCATCCAAAGCAAACGGAGACTCTAAAGGCCCAGGAGCCACTCACAGGACAGTCAGGGCTGATTCCAAGGTTGGGCTTGGAGATAGGGTGGTATCCCTGGGCTTGGAGCAGGGAGTGAAGTTATCTGGAGCTGATTGCATTTGAAAGTCCTTGCTTTACTTCAAAGGAGTTTTCAGGGTGCACTCTGGCCCTCAGAGTTGTCAGACAGGCAGCAGCAAATCCATGAGAAAGAACAGAGGCAGGCTGCCCCTGCACTGATCCAGGCAGAGACCAGTATGTCAGGGCAGATTCCAGAGCTATTTACAGCCCTGCCAGAGGGTCTTTCTTCTTCCCAGGTGGCCTCTCTCTTGGCAGAAGCACTGAGGCAGTGACAGGTCTCCTGTCCTCTTTTGTAGTGTGAAGAGAACTCAGGGCCCTGGTCTGACTGTCTCCTCACAGCCCCACAAGGTATTGCCTGCCTCTCTTCATGGCTCCCATACCACTAATCCTTAGAGAAATACAAGTGCAACCACAGAGATAAATCCTACCGCTCCCATTAGGGTGGCTATAGGCAAGAAGTCATATGCTGACAAGGAGGTGGAGATTAGAGGCCCTGGTGCATTGTGAGTAGCACTGTAACATGGCAGCTGCTTATCTGGGCATGGTGATTCCTTGAACTGAACCTCAAAAAATAAGGGTGGCTTCATGTATTTACTAGCAGACTGTGCAGTACAATCAGTAAATAGAATGAATTTTAAAATAAACAAACGTGGAAGCTGAGTGTGGGGGTATACATCTGCAACCCCAGCACTCAGCACCGAGGAGCTGGAAGATGGCTCAATGGGTAAAGTGGTGCTGAGGAAGCACGAGGACCCAAATTTGGATCCCTACCTTGAATAAGAGCCAGATGTGGTGGCATGCATCTGTAAGGCCAGCGCTGGAAGGTGGAGTCAGGTGAATCCTGAGAGCTGGCTGAGCAGCCACTCTAGCCAGAACAATGAGCTCCAGATTCAGAGAGAGAGACCCTGTCTCAAAGGGTAAGATAGAGAGTGAAAAAGGCATCCCATCATTGATCTGTATGAAGCACCATGCAAAGAGTATACTCACACACAGACACACACATGCACATATCATACACACAAATAAATAAATAAGAGACAGAGTATGAGTCTACCCTGAGCTATGTAGCATGACTCTCAAAAATGTTTTGTCAATTTTTAAAAATAAAATAATAAGCATGTAACTAAAAATAAAATTCTGGTTAATATTTATAAAAACAAAAAGCAAAACATAAGCAGAGATCTGAAGGACTATGTATACATCCGTGTTCACAGTAGCCCAGTTATGACAGACAAAAGGTATCTACAGATAGATAAGTGAACAGGCAAGGTATGGTGAGGGCAGGGGCTGTGGGTCAGTGCAGAGAGTGTGGAGTCCCTAGCACCAAACTTCAAAACAGAACAAAATGTGGCACATGCATCTCACGTGGTTTAAATGTGAATGTCTCCCACAGGCTTATGTGTTTGAACATTGGTTCCCAGCTGGTGGAGCTGTTTTGGAAGGTTGTGGAACCATAGGGGGATAGAACGTCATTGGAGGAAATGGGACAATGGGGGAAGGCCTTGAGGTTTGTAGCCTTATCTCTCTTCCTGTCTTCTCTGCTTCTAACAAAATATGAAGCAAGGTACCCTAGGTATACCCTCTGGCCACTGTTCCTTCCCCCATGACAAACTGTGTCCCTCAAACAGGAAGACAAAACAAACCCTTCCTCCCTCCAGTTTCTCTGGGCACCTGTTTTGTCACAAGCAAAGGAAGTAATGCCGTGACTGATGGAAGGACACTGACGGACACTACAGTGTGGCTAAACCTGAAGGACATCATGCTAGATAAGGTCAGCCAATCACAACCAGACATGCTTGGCCTCGAAGATAGGCCTGTGATCCCCCTTGCCCAGGAGGCTAAAGCAGGACAGCTGTTAAGTTCAAGTGAATGAGTGCAAGGCAACCCTGGACAGTTTAGTGAGACCCTATCTCAGAATAGAAAGAACCACGCCTGCCACTTCACTAGACCAACATGACCCTACCCACATTCTACATACTATCCTTATTCCCAGATAAGTGTAGTCCCCACTCATCATCAAAAAAACCTTCTCTTTGCAATAGAAAAAGACCATTACAGAGAACCACAGCCATCACCATTAAGAGTTGTGGAGCCTGGTACCAACACAACTCCTGAACCTAACGCTCACTGTGGAGGAGGGGAGGAAAGACTGTAAAAGTCAGACAATCAGGAGCTTGCTGCG